TGTCCAAACTCGGTCCTGGAGGGCCGGTGTCCTGCAGAGTTTAGCTCCAACCCTCATTAAACACACCTGAACCAGCTAATCAAGCTCTTACTAGGCATAGGAACTTCCAGTCAGGTGTGTTGAGGCAAGTTGGAGCTAAACTCTGCAGGACACCGGCCCTCCAGGACCGAGTTTGGACAGCCCTGATTTAAATGATTGTCTAGACTCTCGAGTAATACAGACTTTTGTCTAAAATTCACTGACATTAATAGTCTAAAAATTCTCATTTAATAACTTTAAGAAATAGGTGTAATTTATACATCTAACTTCATGATAAATGTAGTTGTCTGACCTGGCTAAGTCACAGTCTTGCTAGTATCAGACATCATTTTTCAGGTCTGGAGGTGGTGTTGCAAAGATGACATCCAATTACATTTATTTGTGTCTTTGCAGGCAAATATGTATGACATGTACTAATGTGTGTGTGTGTGTGTGTGTTTAAACTCTTATTGATCCCTCTCTCTCTTCCCTTAATGGTGCACATCTTCCAGGAGGAGGCAGTGGAAGAACATCTCTTGATAAAACTGGAGAAATACAGAGAAAAATTAGTAAATGGGGGGGAAAAATAAATAAATGAATAAATTAATTAATGAATGAACAAATAAATAAAAAACATTGTGGGTCAAAGCTATCGATCGGTCAGATTTGATAAAACTCTTGGGACATGAAAAGATTATATAAAAATGATGATTTAAAAAATCAGCAAGAATAGAAAAACTATATATTATATAATAGATACTGGTATTTAAATGTTTTAACCAAATATTTCTTATACATTTATAGGATTGACATTTATTTTCCTCTTGACCATATGTAATAAATGTCATCTGAACATATTTTAAAAGGTTATTGAATTTTTATTCAACCTAAATCATTTCTGAGCTTGAATGATTTTATTTATTTATGTCATTTTGGATAATAGTGGTGAGGGAATGTATTTTATTTGTATATTGTGCATTCTTATGTTTGTTAATAAAAGATTTGTGGACCCAGTGATTCGTTTAGATTTGTAGGGTAAAAGTATTGCTTTTATTTCAAAGTGAAAGGCTCAAGTGACACCCTTGGGGCAAAGATGTTCTCAGTAGAAATATTTTCTTGAATATATTTAAAGAAAAAACAAAAATAGGCACAGTTTTTCCATATGGGTTTAATGAATGAATGTGCATAGTTTTTTTTCATATAATCTAAATGGCATGTAATATAACTTATGAAACATGAATGATATCCGTTAAATGAATAATAGAATTGTTAGAATGCACTGAGGTGTGAGTTTTCGCAGTTTTGTCATTCGCAGTTCCTGATACAGAGTTACTTGTCCAAGTGAAAAACTGTTATCATGGCACTGAAAAGAAAACAGAGTACATCCCCAACATCCAGCAGCACTGCGACTGAGAAACATCTGTCCGTTAGTGCTGCTGAGGATAATGAGATGCCAGTGAGAAAGAGGAGGAGGACGGAGAGTTTTCAGAAGCTGCCTATTATGCTCTTTTACAAAGTCTTGATTTTGTTTTGAGGGTGTACTAAAACAGGCTCTCATATTAGGTTGTTTGAAAAACACATTATTTTTCTCATATTTTACATTATTACAACACCTCTCTCCCCAGTCTGGCATGAACGACTCGACTAGTTCCTGAATCAAATGAAGGCCCGCCTTCTGAAATACAAAATGTGCTGTGATTGGTTAGCTGGGCCAGTGTGTGCTGTGATTGGTTCGCTGGGCCAGTGTGTGTTGTGATTGGTTAGCTGGGCCAGTGTGTGCTGTGATTGGTTCGCTGGGCCAGTGTGTGTTGTGATTGGTTAGCTGGGCCAGTGTGTGCTGTGATTGGTTCGCTGGGCCAGTGTGTGTTGTGATTGGTTAGCTGGGCCAGTGTGTGCTGTGATTGGTTCGCTGGGCCAGTGTGTGTTGTGATTGGTTAGCTGGGCCAGTGTGTGCTGTGATTGGTTAGCTGGGCCAGTGTGTGTTGTGATTGGTTAGCTGGGCCAGTGTGTGCTGTGATTGGTTAGCTGGGCCAGTGTGTGTTGCGATTGGTTAGCTGGGCCAGTGTGTGCTGCGATTGGTTAGCTGGGCCAGTGTGTGTTGCGATTGGTTAGCTGGGCCAGTGTGTGCTGCGATTGGTTAGCTGGGCCGGTGTGTGTTGCGATTGGTTAGCATCTGCGGTGGGGGTTTGCCTGTTGTGATTGGTTAGCTGGGCCAGTGTGTGTTGTGATTGGTTAGCTGGGCCGGTGTGTGTTGTGATTGGTTAGCTGGGCCAGTGTGTGTTGTG